TCGTCGTTACAAACGGCATACGAAACACGTATTTTCTTCAGCGCGCGTGTGAAAGCAACTTTCTCATTCGATAAATAAGCATGTGTATAAGGTTCTATTTTTCCTCTTAATTTCTCGATGCATGGAGGAAGGGGGAATATATCTGTGCGCACAATCTGACTATTGATAAAGAGATCTCGCCACGCGATCATTAAGATAAGAATTATCTTGAATTCTTAAAATTTCGATATTGTCTGATAATGATTTGAACTGATGATTAATCTATCGCGTCTTATTTTTAAGAAGATATACCATCATATGTTTGAAACATATGGACAAGAGATTATGTTCTTCGTCCTTTTTTTGGTCCTCATTATTTTCTTTATCTGCCGAACAATTCTCTTTAGATATGTTGGCATAAATTTTTTTTAAAAGCTATCGTCGATTTATTTTATCGAATACGCAAGAATAAAACGAATATTATATGTAATATAAACATTTTTAAAATGTATATATTTTTATTTGAATTACTTGAATTTATATTTATTTTAAAAATTTATATATAATATTTATATTTTTATATTTAAATGTTAGCGCTGGATTCGCATACATTTTCCGTACTAATCTTACAAAGACGAGAAAATTTGATACACGATTTAGCGCTAAATGAATATGTATTTTCAAAATTAAATTGATGACGTCATATCGAAAATTTTGTGGAATTTTGCGAGACAGAGATCATTCTCTGCACACATGCATATTCCTCCCTCGTTCTAGCACACAACCTTGTTTCTTTGCGTCTATTTTTTCTTCTACATTTGTTCGTAAGTTTACACTTTATACTTGAGCATCGCTGAATTATTTCCCGAAACTCTGGTCTGCTTTAATGGAACAATGATAGAAATACATATTATCGCGAGAGATAGAGAAAGAGAATGTGTGCTTCGATATTACGCGAGTTGTTTCTCTTAAAAGTGGGTATATGAGAGCGCAATCTCGAAAAACTCTGAATATAAATGAGACGCGGGAACCAATTGATTTGGCATGGCACGTGTATTTTTAAGAGAACTAAACGCTTTTTAAAGAAACTCCTCGCGTATATGTAGTGCATACATTTTGTATTTGCAAAAATTTTAAAGGCGATGGTAATCCAACAATGCAAGCGTGTACAATTTTGGAGAATAATAATGTACGAATGATGTTATGATTATCATAATACGATCGCGCAGGTTAACGCGAAATTGTTATAAGAAAAACTTGCATGAATAATGATTTTCTTTTTGTCGATACAAGATGTATGCCTATATAAGATTGCGAAAAGATAACGGTATCGTTCCGTTGTCTCAAGAAAGAAAGAGAGTGAGAGAGAGAGAGAGAAAGAGAGAGAGAGAGAGGAAGAGATAAAGAACTGCGAATCTATTAGAGGAAGTTAATAATAGTTAGTAAGAATATTGAGTCGCGATCTCTGTGATGATGATAACAACGTTGACGATAACAATGATGAAGATTTTCCCTGCTCCGTGTTTCTCTGACAATTTCTGTCGTGAACATGTGATGAGATGCAATTAATCTTCGAGGTTTCTAGAGTACATAAGATATAGAGTCGTAATCTACTATGTAGCAATGTAAAAGAAAAAACAAAAAGTTAATACTTTTAAGGTCTGATTGGAGCGTAATAGACATCATGTATTATATCGCGATTAAAGATTAAGCTGTTGACACACGAGGAAGGATCATCGATCGACGATGATTGTGAAAGAATAGTAATATAGACGATGATACACATTTAAATAGATGTAAATAAGCGAAATGAAAACGCGTATGAAGAGGGTGGATACTCTCGAAAACAGACAGAGAGGGAGATAATTATTTTGCTACGCGAGAAGAAAGGAAGACTTCCGGAAGCTGTGCAAAGTGTGATTCCCATTGGCAACTCGGTTCAAGCGGTTCAAGATCCAAATACCACTGCGACCGATTGCAGAGATCGCTCTTAACCTTGGGCAATATCTGCAAATGCGGCAAGACAGAATAGGGCGAAAAAGAAAGACGACGGAGAGAAACAAAGTGGCGAAGGAAGGAAAGAAGACTCGTCGTTCGCGCAAAAACGAGATCTATCGATCGTCTGTCCATCCAATAACGATTCGTATCAGATGTTTGCATTCCCGATAATCCGTACCGGACAACTTTTGCAAAAGAGTCACTTCCGCGATACGCATTCGCGAGGACAATACCGAGAGCTGCAAGAATCATGGAGGAAATCATGGATTTCGACAGAGAAGGAAAAAAATTATCTTCGATTCAGAAGTATTCCAACCAATGATCTAAAACGAATAATTTACAGCCAAGAAACAAAACTTTTACCTGCTCTTGAAGCAGGTGATTCAAAGGAGAAGAAGGGATGTTGTACTGAAATCGTGGCGATGGCATCATCGTGATTGCGCGAGAGGCGAGGAAGGTCATGTGGATAATCAGCTGATCGCCACCTTTCGACGCGCATCTCATTGTTTTCGCCGCGAAACAATCGTCTCGTGCTTGCGTGTCCGACGAGGAGAATAAAGAATTGGCAAGAAAGAGAGAGAAAGAAAAGTGGAATGGAAGGTTGACGGATGCTAATTTTGCTGTTGCGTTTGAGAAGCTGTGCGCCAGGAATCATCATAACTTTCTTTGTCTTTATTCTCGACATGTATAAGAAAAATATGTGAAGATCGATGGAGATTAAAAGAATTAGGAGATGGAAATGATTAAAGAAATCGAAGACCGAGATCGAAAGACGAAAACCATGGCGTTTTGAAAAGAACAACGTATAGACATAATAAAGTTGGAGGCTTTCCGGAAGTTATTCGCTTAATACGCTCAGCAAGAAAGTGGAAGAGTCTTGCTTATGAACGTAACTGTTTATACCATACTTTGCTTTGCACGTTTATAATGCCGGTGCGTTTCTCGAGAAAGAAATAAAACGAGAAGTATATAAGCAGAGATTCGACATAGAAGAGTGACGCAATGAAATGGAGAAGAAAGTGAAAGAAGTAGGAAGAAGAGTAAGAAAATGCAAGTTTTTCGGGTGTGAATGATTATCAAGACATGGAGCAAAGAACGGGGCAGCAAGTATATATGAAAAAAGCTCTCCGTTCGTTAGCAGAACGATATCTTGAGTCTGAATGAATGGTTGAAGCGAATGTCAAGATCTCCAAGAAAAAAAACGGACCAAAAAATGTCTTTTTGAATACAAAAGGCACCAAAAAAAATTATAAATGTGAAGGTAAAATCAGAGAGAGAGAGGGAGAGATTGCGCGTATGAATGTATGAGAGATGCGGAGAAAGAAAGAGTCAAAGGAAAAGATATGAAAGAGCTGAACGATGAAAAGAAGCGGAAAAAATTGAGAGCCAAAGAACAGTCGAGAAATTGGCGTGCAATAATATCCGATAAATTGATTCCGGTTGATGATAACCAGAGAAATAAACGTGGAGTTTCGATTCCTCAATCACGCGAAGAAATCCAAGGAATCTTTATGCAACAGTCGAGTAGGCGGAGTAAATCGTAGTGAGTTTTACTAGAACTTTCCGTTCCCGAGAATATATGATGACTTCCAAGTATATTTCAGCACAACATGATTATACATCTACTTATAGGGGACGGAGTTCATATATTTCGAAATGTTTATGTGAATCATGTGTGACACACATATTCATATTATTGTTAAACAAAAAGAGAAAGAAAGAGGAGAGAGAGAGAGAGAAAGCAATCGCGTCAGGAAGATATCGAATGATGAAGATAGAAGGAACAGAAGAGGAGATGAGTTGCGGACTCGTCTGATGAGTTTCGCGTAAAAAGGTGCTATCATTTTTTGAAGACATGATAAAAGAACCTTTTGAAGTTTATACGTGTTGAAGAGAATGGAACCAACATCTTTCCGTGAGAAGCGAAGAAGAAAATCATTAAGATGGAGTAGAAGAAATTTTCAATTATCCCCCATTCGTTCTCCCTTTCCTTATTTTTCCTTTCCTTAAAAAAAGAGAATTATTTTACATCAACAAAATACTGAAGAAAAAAATCTTAGCATGCAACTTTGGAACGTCTTTAAGATTCGCAAGATATTTCACGAGAGAATCACCTTTATTTTTGTTTGCCTACCATTTCCCTACCTTGTTACATTCCATTTTAATCCAGATTCTCCCGCATAATCCTTTTATTTTTTTAGGGTCCCTTCCGGGGACCCGCAAATGCATCACAAACGGTGCTGCATTCTCGGCCAAAGCAATAAACATATGCACGAATGTGCAATCAAGCATCCAAACTGTCCTTATCAGGACAAACTTCATAAAACTGTCCTTTTAAGGGCAAGGAACACCAAAGCATCTGCAATATATAAAACTGTCCTTTTTAGGACAAAAATCTTCATCGTACCTGAAATATAATAAAGTACTTTTTCCTTATACATAATTTCCCATTAAATTATCTTTTTTCAGATCGCACAGTTATATAATCGTATAAATAGAGGTAATAAATTTAGTTATATAATATTGCATAGTATATAGAGTGTATAATATTAGATTTTTCTCTATCAATATTCCGATTCTTTTTTAATAGCCAAATAACCCAAATGTGAACATAGATTTGTTATTAGAATAATATATACCCATTCCTCAGTAAGATTGCAAAGTATATTCGTTATTAAATTGTTTTAATAATTTATTTTGCATGAAACAAATGTGTGTATAATATAATATATATAATGTTTCTGAATCATCATCTTTGTTTCAGGGACGATCCTTGAATTTGATGGGTATTTTCAATCTTAAAATAACGATGCTCCTAATCTAAAAAACGTGTTGCCAAGAATTATGTGTGCGTCGTTGTTCCTTATCTAATGAGGAATAAAAAACACACTATGACGTATAGGGAAA